TACACTTTAACGAAACAAATAAAACAATGAATGTTGCATTCCAATTCCATTATTGTAAACTAGATGAAAAAGTTCATCCATTTTTTATACAGTTCGCCACGTTTTTTCTGTTATAGACTTTTCATTGTCAAGGTACTGCTGTTTACTGAACTTGTTCGCCACAAGTTTCTCGGCATATGTGATCTGCAGACTGATTTGCTCTTTGTACTGATGGTCCAATCGATTCAGCTCAGCAACCTGTAACAGCAGGACAATTCTACATTAACTTTTGGGGTAATCACTTACTTTTTATCACAGATTTAAGTAAATTAAAAATTTATCACACTTAACCTACAATCCTCAAGATTTTTACAGATACTTAACCCTCACACTTCTGGTTGACACAGAATATCCACATGTTTGGTGCAAACTAACTAAGATCATCCAGCACATCTATGCCATTTGATCAGGGTCTGCACAGCTTGCAATTAAGTCAGTACTTTTTTAAAAAGATTTTATCATACTTGTAATTTACTCAATTTCATGTAGTTTCCTTGTTTAATTATCCAAAATAAGTAAAGGATATGAAAACAAAAATTAGTACATTATAACTTTGAAATCAAATTATCATTATAAAAGTAGTGTAAATCTTTCCAACCTTTTCACCAAGATCCGAGCCCTCAGATTTCAGTTGACCTTGTAGGTTCTGTATTTGACTAGTAAGTTGCTTATAGTCGCCATCTATTTTCTTCCTCTGAGACATAAAGTTACTATGGTCCTTCCCAGCCTTGAACTTGTCGATTGCATCATCATAGCTCTGATAGAGGGCGCTACGCTTGTCCTGGGCACTCTGCACTTCCTCCACTAGACTAGCAACTCGCATTTTACTCTCCTTAGCCTCGTCCTGGAAAACAAATGTCAAAACTGTTTTCTTTACATTGTAGCAACCTCGATTTCTACAAATAATTCATTTTACACAGGTCACTTAACAAATGTCTTTCCTAATCATTTCAGAAATTTAATCCTATGCTGTTTAAAAATTGTCACTATAAAAACCTATGTTTTCTCTTTGCCTTTTCACATTCTCTAATGGAAACAGAATCAAAACAGTAGTTAAGACATGGCTTCCAAGTATTTTCTCTGCCACTTAAATACTATGATAAATACTCTTTTCTTAATGTAAATATTTATCTAATGATATATACCTTGGTGATAGAGAAGTCCATTCTGACATAAATGATAACAAGACAGAACAAGAGATAGAATGCACCAACAACCAGCAATGGCTCCTGTAGCAAACGTAATTTCTGGAAGTTGTAGTGAAGCTAAAAAAAAAACAATTGAAGTGATGGATTATGTCTTGAATATCTTATTATATTTAAATGTTTATGAAATTCTGAAATATACTTGAAATTCTTTTTCCTTAATGTGCACAAAATTGGATGTTGTTTTTTTAAACTATTTTTCTTAACCATTGAATTCTATATTTGATACGCAATACAGAATGTTAATTGTGAAAATTAGCCAAACTTTGGTGCCGATACATGTATTAATACATTATGAAAATGCCCAACACCATGGACCAACAAAAATTTCCTACGATAATTCATTTTCACAAGTTGTTCAAACCAAATCAGATCTTTATGACAAGAAAGTTAGGTCAAAATATCAGGCATTTTTTTCTTACATTCTTATTTTATTCATTTCATAGTAAATCATTTTGCTTGCATATATTATAAACTTTTATTTTGCTATCCAACTGAAAGCAGAAGGTATATGACGGACCATTTTTGAACAAAACAATATTTTGTTTTATACCTCAAAGTCCTGGATATGTTCTTCCACTAGATTGTTTTTGTAGGCAACAATGACTGGTCGACCAACAGTATCAAGGTAAGTATAGTGCAAACCATTATCTCCCTTCTGTACACTAAAAGGAGTCTTCAACTCCATCTTTCTGTATTAACAAACATCAAAATGTTGCTTAAAGGAGTAGCAATTAATTACAGAAGATTTTTACCAAGCTATTTGTAAAATCTAAACCAACAGTTCATGCAAAGTTACTTTCAGTAGCCGTATTTTTTGCTAGAGACACTTCATGGTGCACATACATTATAATAATGTCCTTTGTTTGTTTGTTTGATTCATTTTACGCCTGATCCCAACAGTATTTCAGTCATATAGGCGGGTAGTTTCCTAACCATCGTTCCTGGAGAGTAACAGCAGTACTAAACTACCTTCCTCCACGCTAAACTACCAAAGCATCTCCCGGGGATCGAACCCACGCCAGAGAGGTAACTGGATTAGAAGTCATCGACTCTAACCACTCGACCACGGAGGCATGTCCTTTGTGATATTCTCCGTAAGCCAAAGGGGCCAGAGAAATGCTTGCTACTGAAGAATTATTGCCAATTACTTTGCCTAAGTATAATTATGCCAACCAGATATTTCTACCTTTGTTCAGCTGATGTAAAACATAGGGAAATTTACTGACATTATTAAATAAAACCTGTAAAATTTTACAACCAAGTGCAAGTTGGTTGTTCCAATGTGATTGTATAATATTTCTGGAATTGTGATAGGAGGGACATATGGGGGTCTACCTTCAGCAAGAAAAATTTGTTACTTTTACACTAAGTGAAAAGATAAAAAAGTTTCACTTACGAGGCTCCTTCAGGCAGGATAATTTTGAATGTGATCTGGTCAATAACAACATCATCATAGATATGATCCACAAATCTCATCTTTAAAGCATAGTTGTCCCCTGTAATTCAAATCATTACATTGATAAAAAACATGTCAAATATATTACATTTGTAGAGCAAGACCTATATTAGCTGAATGATCAAAATTTATCAAACTTTGATTCAAACTCAATAAATGGAACAATGATAACTGATAATGCCCTTTCTTGTAAGCTTAATCAACTAAAACATGTTTAATTTGTAGGCTTCTTTAGGTAAATTTTGACAATGTTCAAACAAGTCAAGATTTTTTTTTAGTTTTTAGTTCAAACAGTAAAGAACCTCCCAGTTCATAAAAATGATTGACATAATATTCAACAATAATATTTCTTACCACTGTTGAAAAGATACTGATAGCTTGGAACATTGTATCCAATAGTGTATTTGGTCTTCCAACCACCGAAGAGTGGGAATCTTGGACGAAGCTCAACTTCTACCATATCTTCCATTTCTCTCATTGCACTCGTGGAAATGTTTCCTATCTCGTCACGGTAATAAACATCTCTGGCTGCAGCTGGCAAGATTGTCTAAATAAACAAACAAAATACATTCACACAATTACCCTATAAACTTTCAAAATGAAAGAAAAACTTTCAAAATGTGATTTCACCCTCGGAAGCTCAACATTAGAAATATCAAGAAGTCAAAATTACTCTACTTTGTACATACACATAAAATAACATTAGATAATGTTATATTTCAAACACCAGCTAAAATTTCTTAGATCAATATAACTTGAATATATGATTTAATAATAATAAATTGACCCCCTCCTTCCCTTTGCGCCCCCCAAATAACATAAAAACCTTCTAAACACTCCAAATGTTGTACCTTAAGTAATGATAACAATAACCTAATTATTTAAATTGAAAAACATCTGTTTAATTAATTAGTTTTTACCAATGATATAAATTGCTAGAAAAACTACTACCCCCAAACCCTACATTGGTCATACTCTGATCAAAGATATGATTCCTGGTCTATTAATTAATTTACCTTGAATGATTTAACAGATGCTCCTTCAGCCTGTCTCTGGTAGTCATATCTGGAGAATGGACCTTTCAATTCTGCCCCTGAGTGTCTGATCTCGATGTGTTCCTCCACAGCAATGTTACCCCAGTGTGATACCTCAATGACACGTTCCATGCTGGTGATGGTCAAGAATGGTGTGTTGTTTTCAGAATGTACTCTCAATTCAGCCTGCAACATTTCAAATTATACTCAACATATAGACAAACCAAATGCCTCATTAAATGAAGTTGTTACTTATTTACATATGACTTTGACGTGCAAATGTTAAGTAAGCCGCTGAAAGCAAGTTTCTAAGCTCCATCCCTTTAAAAGGCAATTTCCTTTGAACAATTAATTTAAGTAGTTATTAATATACGCAGTTAACATTGCAACATCTTACTACATCTATATCAAAATTAAGCATTTAGTATGTACCTCAGAAAATGCTTCTTTGTTTTCATATGGCCCGTAAGTGATGGTACTTTCACTCTGAGAAACTGGTTTTGTTTTGGTGTATGATTCAATAGTACTTGACGCTGTTGTCACAGTTGTTGTTTGGGTTTTGACTTTGTAAGGCAGGAAAACATACAAATTCCCAGTGAACACCACATACTGTTTCTCGGCCTGTGTCACTTGACGTGGGAATGGGGTCAATGCATGGGCGTAAACAGAATTGACGTTGACTGTAATGGACTTTCCAGTTTCCAAAGCTTTTGGGAAGTTGACTCTCCAAAATTGTTTGTCACTGTAATGATAAAAACGGTTTTAAATACATTACATCAAACACAACCAAATAAAAATTTTTTGACAATCTTTACATGTGACATTCTGTTTCAATAATACCCTTTTATATTATGAACATCCTAGTTAACAACAGTCTGATACAAAAGTGCATCAAATTTTTTTACAGAGCTTCAAAATCTACACTCCGCTCTTAAACTAAGGAACAATGTCCTAGACCACTGAGTAAACAATCAATTTCCTGACCCAGTTCATTCGAGGTTGTTAAGGAGTTGGGTGTGCACTCAAGCAAATCATAATTTATGATGCTGTATGATTTTTTTCAAGTCAGTAAGGCCTAAAAAAAAAATGTTTTGTTTGGGTCACCCTACCGCCGACCCTACCGTTTTTTTCGTGTCAAAAAAAAAAAAAAAAAAAAAAAAAAAAAAAAAAAAAAAAATCCATGAAAATACTGTATTATTGAGGTACTCAATGAGCAGTGTGAAGGGCAATTCAGGCGAAAATTTCGCTGTGTATATTTCCATTTCGCTCTCCCAATTGATCAAAGAGAAGTCAACATCGCCGATAAAATCTTAATTCCCAAAGAGTAATTACTTGCCGATGTAAAGAGCAGAGATTGTATCCGCCCATATGACGACTGCTAATTATCATTATCCAATCAGAGCATCGCTATATACTACCCTTCTACCTGTATGCAAAGCGATAGACCGCCTACTCTAAACAGTAAATAATGAGAGCATCGGCCCGAAACGGGTATATTTTGCTAGTTTAATACGGGATTTGGCGATAATTATAGATTAATTTTTTTCCGATCATCTAAACACGTGCAAATCTTCCCTAATTGATATACACGCGGTGTTTAACCGAATTAAAGGCGATGTGTAATGGGTTTTTCACGGCTATCACAAAACTGTTAAGTCAATTAAAAATAATTAATTTCATTTGGATGATTTCAGTCCGTTAACATCAATTAAAAATTGTTATGTCGCTCACGTCATGGCTTGGGGTGAAATGCCCAAACCTAGCAGTAAAAAAAAGTTACTGATTCTGATACACCTAATACACGCGAAAATTTAAGAAAGCCAATTCGTAAAAATCTTATGATTGGTATGTTGTAGACAGTGAGAGTGTTTTGCATTGTTATCTTTGTAGAAATGCCAAATTTGACACAGCTTGTACGCACGTGTGCACGACATCCTAAAACTACGAATCATGATCGGCATGCGACATATCGGTCGTATATCATGTGCTCATGTATATAACAACAAAATTTGTCAGGAAAGAAGTGTTCTTATTGTTTCAATATATATATTTGTTTTAATGTCATAAATATGACGCTCAGATTAAGATTTATTAATATTGTAAATTTCAAAAAGCATTATTTATAAAGATATTACCGAGTTTAACATTTCATGAAAATAAAGGGAGGTAATTAGAAATTTATTTTCTATAATTTCTCAGTCGAATTTTTCAATAAGAAATGAATGTATATAATTTTAGTGATCAAATATAATGTGCACAAATGTTTGCAGTACATATTTTACATATTCTTCGATATTTGAAAATTGTTTTATAAGCATAATCATATGCACATAAATATGACATTACAACATAGAAGATCATAAAAAAAATTCTGTAAAAAGAACAGGATAGACAGATTTTATTAATCATTATCCAATGTAACTTTATCTGGAAAGTAAAAATATAAAGTTAATTTATTCATCATAGTTTTCTTACACATTATTATCAAAAATATAAGAGAAAGCTTATAAATAGCTGATAAATAGATTGTGTTTCTATTCTAGTGAAAGGATGTATAGCCATGCATGTTAATGCATACACATTGGGATGTTTCCCGTCTGCCGATTTTTCACGAGGAAGTCACTTCTCCCTAAAATTTCCCCCCAGGATGAGCCCTGGGTACGGTACAGGTTTTATCGCCGCTCTTAGTTACAAAATGGCGGATCACATCGTCAATATTTGTAAAACGGCGTGTGATCTTCACCAGAAGAACGCTGAGAGTTTAAGATTGTTACACCTGAAATGTCTTTTGAAAACATAGAAGGGATGTATTTGTGCCACCCGGGAGGGATGTCAGAAATTTCCATATCTAAATTTCAATACACTGGTGAAAAAAAAAAAAAAAAAAAAAAAAAAATCCGACCTACCCTACCTATTCCTTGAGAGCATGTTACCCTAACAAAACAATTTTTTTTTTTAGGCCTAACTATGTTGGTAATAAATTAGAGACAATTTTGGTTTTAAATTGGTTTCAACACAAATTCCAAAAGGAAGGCATCACCAGATGTGCCCCCATTTAACAAAAACAGAAAGGTGCAATGCATCATATATTTCTGCCATGGCTAGGATTTGAAAATATACAAAAGAAGTAACAATGGTTCACTCTTTACAACTTGGCCAAGAATTGACATTTGATGCAGTTATCAGAGGTTGTACTTGAATTATGATTCTATGAACAGGTCTAGGATTTCATGATATTTATGGACAGTCTGTAAATTTTAGGACAATCCATAATTTTATAGACTTTTTTATCTGTAAATTTACAGACAATAAATAAGAAAATAGTAGAAGTGGCATTAAAATTCAAAACCGCAGGTTAAAGTGAATAAGTATATGTATTATTTCATTAAATGTATCACTATGGTAAGATTCAGAACAATTTGATGATTTTCAATTTTCACTTTTAACAAAAATTTCAAAATCATCATACAATGATGAAACTCACTCTATTACCTTTGTAAATATGAACAATCAATAAGACAACTTGTTTTAAGCTGCGGATTTTAGTGTAAAACTAAAAACAGCGAATTCCACATTGAATCTGTAAATTTATGGATTTAAAAATCTTTAAATTTCTAGAGTCTCTATTAATTTACAGACAGTCCATAAATATCATGAAATCCTAGACCTGATGAAGGTGGGTGAGCACTCAACCATTACAAAAAGACTGAATCATAGATAATCTAACAATATTAAAACTGATTTTGTACTATGTCACAGCAACAAGCCAACAACACAATAAAAAGCTTGTCCATGTCTGTGCCCATGTTCTAGAATACCTATCTTGGGATGTCAGAGCTGAAACTTTACCTTTGGCCAGATACTGTGGTTTGTGCAACTGTAAGGGGAGTTGGCTTCTCATCACCATCACCTTTAATCTACAAAACAAATGAAGTTTTTTAGTAAGACTGCAGTTTTTAAATTATACAATCATTTCATTTCCTGCATGCACTAAGTTTAATTGTCAGCAGTGAAACATTTTTCTCTAATATAAAGAATTCAGATTTTAAAAATTGTACAGAAATGGTCAACACCCACTGATTTAGTTCTGGCTTCCAAAACTTTATAAGCCGCTTTTTAACATTTTTGTTTTTCATCAGATGCGGCATTAAAACAGTTCACGTCATGTCATATATATAAACGGGTACGCTGAAGACCTTAAGCTACCACTGATTTTACAATACAGTACTGCTCACAGTTTTCTATTGGCGTCACTTTCGAGGAGCTGTCAAGGTCCCCCATACATGTAGTTTGACATATGTTCTAAGGGATGAAATAATGGATAAACAAAGACAAAGGTGAATGCATCCTCAGTTCCTTGTAAGATAAACAGTAGGCCTAATAAACTAGATCGTCTCCATTACTTACTGATGCTCCAAAGTATGACAGGTAATTCTTGAGAGAATTGTCAACTGGCACTAAAAAGTACCCTGCGGATGACTTTCCTCCGTTTTCAATGGTAACAGTTGTAACAATCTTGACAAGATGGGTTGCAGTATCAATTTTTCTGTCTGCTTCGGATACAGTCAGATCATTGTTAATAGCATCTTGCCTCGCAATTGCAATATTGCAAACAACTGACAAAACAATGAAAATAAAAACAAAGCGTTTTATTTTCATCATATTTACGTGCCTGATGAGGATTCAGACGGATAATTCAACAAACTTTCAATAATGTAGCCGGTATCTCCCGGAAGTTGTTGTCAAATCCGGAAATTATGTGTCATGTAAAGATAGTATAATAAATTCGTATAAATATATCTATTGATAAAAATAAATGAATACTCATATGTGGTTTAAAAAAAGAAATTAATGATATCACATTAAAGAGCTATTACAGTACCAAAGGAAAGAAAATTAAAATTGAAAAATTCGAAACAAATATGTAAACATTTCCCGCGTAATTATCTGTCAAAGATGGCGGGAGTCACGTTGCCGGGACATAACCAGACATTGAAAGAAGCTTTAATTGAAAGCCTTACAGCCATTCTTTCCCCTGACCACAAAACTAGAATCAATGGTGAAGAACAAGTGAAAGCGTTAGAAGTTACCGAAGGTAACTGTTGACATAGTGACAGAATTTTATAAAGATAAACTCGAGAGTTACCCCACCCATTATCCAATAATAAGGAGGTGTTTGAAAGCCCTATTTGTAGACACAAGACCTATACAAACACCGTTTTAAAACTAATAAGCGTGTATGCATGTTAAGGGTGTGGATTTTTTCCACTTGCCTGTGGAGAAGTGTTATTCTAATCTAAAGTTTTTACTTGACAACAGGTAAAGTTTACTTGCCCAAATAAGTGAAAAACAGGAGGTATAGGGTAAAGGATCGCAAATACGGACAGATGACAATTTCGGACACCAAACTGTATAAATCTAATATCTTATAACTAATACGCCATAGGATTAAATTAAATAACCTACTTTTACTTTGAATACAAATATATATCCTTATCTACAATGTGAATTATTATGTATTCTTTAATCCTAATCAAGCAGGCCCGCTGGGTTCTTTCCCTTTTCGTTACCGAGTCGGAAAGTTTAAAACCGCGAAAATTCAAACAAGAATCACGGTGAGTATATTTCTCAACGATTATCCATAAAACAATTATTCACTGTCTTATTTGTCCTTGACATATGACATACTTTGTCTTTAAATGTAGAAATTGTCGAAGATATGTGCAAATATACTTTAAAATCCCTAAAAATAAGAAAAATAAAGTGTCCGAATTTCCCCGATCACTACTTATGGGCAGCATTTAATTTCGAACCAGAACATTTTTAATTTCGGACATGTTTTGAACATTTGAAATATGTCCTCGTATATTAAGGTTGGTTGCTATTTAACCACATTTATTAAGCATAGCTTTCGGTTTCAGATCTTTGAGATGGCTAGAAAATCTAAAAACATCTATAAAAAATACGACGACAATTTGATTAAAGCAGCAATAGATGTCATAAAATCTGGTCAAATGTCATTGCGTAAAGCGTCACAACATTATGGGATACCAAAATCAACATTAAGTGACAGATTAACAGGGAAGGTTGCCTCTGATGCTAAATCTGGTCGTCCTCCTACAGTGCCATTAGATGTGGAAGCAGACATAGTTGGACGTGTGACAACGGCAGCTGGGTGTGGTTTTGGCATAACAAGGCGAGATTTTTTGATAAAAACAGGCCGATTATGCCAAAAAATGGGTCTCAAAACTCCATTCAAAAATGGAATACCAGGCAAAGGTTATTTCCAAGGTCTTAAGAGAAGACATCCATCTATTGTAATCCGTAAGCCAGAGAAGTTCAGGGATAAAAACTAACCATTTAAGCTTGGTGGCCACCTGGGCCACTGACTGTAAAATTTTGGTGGCCCAGTAAATATATTAGTGGACCAACAAATTATGAACAGAAAAAGGGCTAGCACTGGCAAATTTTTTTTAGCCAATTTTTTGGCAACGAAAATTGCGTGCCTGTATTTTTTTTCAAATAAGGCAAAATGGTACAGCATGAGGTATTTAGAAAAACATAAACTATAATGTCCACTTTTTTTTTTGGTACCTACATTTTTTATCACATTAACACATCAAACTTATAAAATTTACAGTCAATAATTTATAAAAGCTTCCAGCTCAGTAGCTATGACATTTGCCTGGTTAAGTCAGTGGCATGACAGTAACAGCAGAAACACATTCCAATGTGCTGCTTCAGCTTGCTTGGTTAATGAAAAGAGATTGGCTTGAAGACTTTCTGTATCTGAAATAATACAGAAGAAACAAGTTTGAAAGTAAGAAGAGTGAAGAAAATGATATTGAAAAATTCTAAACTAAAGAAAATTCAGGAATATAATCACATGTACTACTGTCATTATAAGTGTACAGGAATCAGTATAAGTTAGGCATTTTCTGTTTGTATGTTACTTAATGTTACAAAACTTAAATTTGATTTTAAGTCAAATCAAGGTCAATCTTTTTTTCCAAGGAATTCTCTGTAAAGCCAAATGTCAAATAAATTTCTTGTAAAGGCATAATTAGGTTAGAATAAAATGGCAATCAGCCCCCATTCCCCCCCCCCCCCCCCCCCCCCCGAAGAAAAAAATCAATAAAAAAAACAACGCATTACTCTTAGACCGTGTCTACACCTATTCAAGTTTCTTACATGTCGCATTTAGATAAGCTAAATAAATGGCCTTTCAACATTTTTTCAGGCACAATTTTTACTGAAATGTCTCATTAAGATAGCCCAGGATTTATACCTTTGTCTTTGCAAAACTATCATGTTTCTGTAAAATATGTGAAAAAAAGCGGGAAAATGATGCAATTAGCTATAACAGAATGGAGTTAATGAAAATTTGTCATTCTTTTTTAAAATTGAAAATATGTGACAACAAATTATTTTGATGCAAATTCTTTATTTGAGGAAAGTTATCACTTTAATGAACAAGATCATTTTAAATCCATTTTGACTTTACTTGAAAAAGAGCTCTTTTTTTATTTTTTTACAGTGTAAATTATTTTTATTTATTTATTTTTTTTTTTTTTTGCTCTTCTGTGTATCAGTGTATTGGTTTGTTCCTTTGACCAAGACATTGTAATCATTTAATGAAATTCAAAGGGTATGTACACTGAATCAACAACAAAAAGTCAGAAAATAATAAAAATAACAGCACTATCAAACCTCCAGGCACATGTTTTGTGTCAAACCGGTGTTATCAGTGTCTTGACAGCAAAAAACTTGTAGAAAAATAGAACGTGTTCTAACTTTCTTGCAAGGAATTATCTTCTTGGATGTCACATTATTTCTCTTTAAAACTCATTCAAGTAGGGTGTCTACACTATCCAATACAAGAGAATATGATACTTGAATTCAAGACTTGGAAAGGTGTAGACGGGCTCTAATTAACCAATATTTTCTTTTGATCTGTTATCAACAACGATAAGATTTACTGAATGCAAACTTACCGTCAACAGGTCAAGTTGTCAACTGCAGAACATAATTTGTCGCTATTTCATACCCAAACTTCTGATTTGATTAGCGATAATCTTGAGTAATCTTGGGATGCCGCTACTTATTGTTTCATATTAAATATTTAGACCCGATTTTCCAATGCATATTCAACAAACTGCCAGGTATGTTCACTACAATAAGTGTCATATTTATCAGCTGATGTAAACAAACGGCGAGGGTCAGTGTATTAGACTGTGTTACTTTTCATATCGATATTTAATACAGAAGGGGAGGTAAAAATATAAACCAGTCAATGACCCACAAGAAGTAGACTGTGTCGCTGTGTTTTGAGATAAGAAGCGGTAAAGCGGAAATTGAAAATGGAAAACCAGATGTGTACTTTTCCATTATTAAAATAGCAAATGCTAAATTTAGACTGGAGATTCCAAAAGTAATACTTTTTGGAAGTTTGAGCCAATCGTGATTTTCTTGAGCAAATTTAATAATTTTGTAGCCAATTTGCTCCTTTGAATTTTCACATGAGTTGATTTAATGGCGGATATTAATTTAATCTACGGCCGATTTTTTTGGTCGCCGGCTGGACGACTATTTTGAAATTTTTGGTGGCCCAATAACAAATTAAGTCGCCGTGGGCGACTGGGCGACCGCTAATTTTCAGCCCTGGAAGTTGGGTACATCTCGAGCCAGGTGCCTTAATCCAACTATTGTTAACCGATATATAGATGATCTTGGTAAACTCCTTATCAGTCTTGGAATTGAGAATAAGTCATCTCAAATATGGAACATGGACGAGACAGGCAAACAATTTGAGCACAACCCAGTCCGTGTAGTTGCAAGAAAGGGGGTGAAAAATTTGCCGGGTCGTACTAGTAATCAAAGGACCAACACCACCATCCTGGCATGCGTAAGTGCAAGTGGTCAAGCTATGCCTCCTCTTATGATCGTGAAAGGTAAGACCCAACGGTCCACTATATTCGTGGAACACGGCTGCAGCGCCCCAAGGGACTAAATGGGCCTTCCAAGAGAATGCATGGATGACAGAAACTATATGTAAGGACTGGTTTGAAGAAATATTTCTTCCCTTCTGCGGCAGTGCTAGACCCAATTATTGATTTGTGATGGTCATCGTTTACATGAAGCACATGCACTCCTGGAAATTGCCAAAAGATAATAATATTGAAATTCTGGCTCTCCCTCCCCATACTACTCACAAAACTTCAGCCACTTGACAAGAGTGTGTTTGGCCCTTTTAGTGCATATTACAACGAAGGTTGTACTGAATTTTCTCTCAGCTAGTCCTCATCACACTATAAATAAATGGTCATTCCCTGAGATCATTGCACGGGGCTTGGGAACGTGCCATGACTGTAAAAAATATAACTAGCGGATTTTCATCATGTGGTATATACCCCTTCAATCCACGTGCTTTACGTACAGAGGATTTGTTACCATCGACTATGTTTGACAAGCCTTTGCATGCCACCACCTCATCAGTTACACCCACCTCTACAATGACTTCGACTGCGCTTGAAGAGAATTATGTTGGCGTATCAGAAGTTAATACTTCACTGAACCTAGCTTCATCAAGTACGTCTATCCCTTATGAACCCTTGCCTGACCAACAGATTGAAATGCCTACCCCCTGTGCAACACAGATTGTACCATCCATATCATCTACGAGCAATATATCTATCCTTACTCCAAAATTTTACTCGGACGACCCTAATGAAGCCGTAGAACTTCATGAAGCCACTGATCAAGAAATTTCGTACATTCTTCCTCTATTTCCCGAGATTATAATTGAAGATATAAAACTTTCTGGTGGGGATTTTTGTAGTGAAAATTATTTGCCCAATGAAAATCAATCCCAGAATGATGAGTTGAATGCACTTGCTCCTTTGCCACAGTGCAATTGGAATGTTGACATTGATTCCATATTTAATGTCCCACAAAATGTTAATGTAAATGAAAGAAAGAGGAAAAGTACCGTTAGTACTTCGCACAGGCTACTCGCGTCCAATGAAGTATTGGCTGAAAAGAGGCAGAAGCAGCTTGATAAAGAAAACATCTTGCAATTAAAAGAGCAACGTCGCC